CCTGAAAGAGAAATTTCTCGCGGGCTCTGAGAGTGTCTGCCACACAGTCGCTCCAGCGTCTTCATCGTCTGCCTCTCGCTCTCCAGCCAGAGTACCTGAGCGTGTATGCTCGTAGGACTGGTTGGTTTATAGGCATACGAGTGAGATGTCCGAATAACTTGATTCTCTGTCGTTCGATGTGTTGTATGATTGGTATTTCTCCTACCATATCTCTTATTGCTTTATTCCTGATCTTGTCTCGCCTGGTCAACTGCTGAGGAAATCAGTGAACAGGACCAGGCGAGACAAGATCATTATTTTCTCATAAACAAATTCTTATAATCTAATAATATTTTCAAACCCACAAATGGTCAATAGATCATAGAAAACGAGTGAATCAATCAGGGGGACAGACAGTTGCGGATCTAACAATTGCGTATCTGACAATTGCATATGTCACATTTGCGTATTGAACATTTGCGTATTGGACATTTGCGTATCTGACAATTGCGTATCTGACAATTGCGTATCTGACATTTGCGTATGTCCCATTTGCGTATTGGAAATTTGCGCATTGGACATTTGCGTATCTGACATCTGCGTATCTGACAACTGCGTACCAGACAATTGTATCCCTGGACATTTGCGTCCTTAGACAAATGCGTCCCGGAATAATTCCATACCTATGACAATTTTTTGAAGTTACCATTTTTCCTTTTCTTAAGAGTTGCTAATTGCAAACCAACTTTTAATTATTCTAATCAAGCACAAATGCAGTTCACATAAATTTTGAAAGAAAAAAATTTTTTTTTTAAGATTTGTTTAATATAGAAATTTTTCACACAATACCTTGTAATTATATATTAAAATGCATCTGTTATATATTGATTCATTCAAACCAGTATCTTCGGATTTTTTTTTTCATCTTTTGCATCAGGTTTCGTTCGGTACACCCAGATCATTGCGCACGGGTATCTGTCGTAGGTTTTTCTTATATTGAACATAATCTATCATTTATGTTGTGGCGTTAACCAACAAGTCCGGTTTATCCGATGGAGCAACGTGAATGAGTTAAATTCGTGGTCGTTGCTTTGCCGTTCAACCATATGTTACGTTTAAAGAGATCACAAATACTTGTTCTTTACACAGGTTTTCGATAAACATAGTCCGTATCTTTCTTCGAAATTCCTTAGAATCAGTATTATACGATGGAAATGGGACTAATTCGACACTGAATACATGGCATGGCGAGTCTTTACTGTAAATATTTCTGTATATATTTCGTTGAAAAAGACCAACAAGGAATTTTTGTTGGGCTTGTATTAAGTTTTTGTTGTGTGTGTAAAAGTCTGTTGACGAACAGTTGAGTATTGGAGATTTGCGCCCGGACAATCGCGTACTGAACATTTGCGCCCGGACAATAGCCTACTGAACATTTGCGCCCGGACAGTAGCGTACTGGACATTTGAACCCGGACAATAGCATACTGGACATTTCCAACCGGACAACTGCGTACTGGACATTTGCACCCGGACAATTGCGTATTGGAAATTTGCGCCCGGACAATAGCGTACTAAACATTGGCACCCGGATGATAGCATACTGAACATTTGCGCCCGGACAATAAAAAAACTGACATTTGCACCTGGACAATAGCGTACTAGATATTTGCACCCGGTCAATTGCGTAATGGACATTTGCACCCGGATGATAGCGTACTGAACATTTGCGCCCGGACAATAGCGTACTGGACATTTGCACCCGGACAATAGCATACTGGACATTTGAAACCGGACAATTGCGTATTGGACATTTGCGCCCGGACAATTGCGTACTGGACATTTGCGCCCGGACAATAGCGTACTGAACATTTGCACCCGGATGATAGCATACTGAACATTTGCGCCCGGACAATAGCGTACTGGACATTTGCACCTGGACAATAGCGTACTAGATATTTGCACCCGGTCAATTGCGTAATGGATATTTGCACCCGGATAATAGCCTACTCTACATTTGCACCCGGACTATTGCGTACTGGACATTTGCACCCGGACAATTGCGTATTGGACATTTGCGCACAAACAATTGCGTACTGGACATTTGCACCCGAAGAATAGCGTACTGGACATTTGCACCCGGGCAATTGCGTACTGGACATTTGCGCCCGGACTATTGCGTACCAGACAATTGCATCCATGGACATTTGCGTCCCTAGACATATACGTCCCTGGATACTTGCATACCTCTGATAATTTTTTGAAATTGCGATTTTTTTAAGAGTTGTTTAATATAGAAATTTTTACGCAAGTACCTTTAATTGCTCTAAAACAAAATACGGAAAGGCAATCACCGTTAATAAAAAAAAAAAAGAGAAAGAAGTTTATTTTTTCATGCGAGGGAAAATTAAGCTAGCAGTTTCAGTTCACTCCAGAAGTGTAAACCACAAACATCTAATAGATTCTGGATTTTATAGATTATATTTTTATTTGGAGCCCATGGCTAAGTTCCGAAATTCAATCACTGTCAAAAAAATATTTGTGGACGAGGAAAATTACTGCTACCATTATTATAAGAAAAACGCCGAGGAAATAAAAAAAATCTTGCAACACTGATAATCTGTCATTGCATTTTAAACAAAAATAGAATTTAATTTGTTTTTATTCCTTTTATTCATTTTAAAAATTTATTATTACTGACTATGCTTTATTCAGAATTGTGGTAATTGCCTTTAAAAGTTTCTTTCTCAATGATCAGAGTTATGTCATTATCCATGGGCCCCTTTGTCTAGGAACATTTTGTAATGTCAACGAATAATCGTTGTCACTTTCGTAATGCTCGTTGTAGTAGAGACTTTGTAATCGCAGATACGACTATATTAGCGCCGTTGAACAATACTAGTGTCAGACGTCTTAGAATAGCACTCGCACTAATAGTACTTGCTCAGTAATACTCGCTCGTATAGTAACCCTTATAGTGATCTAAATAGAAAAATAGTATAGTGAATAGAGTAGAGAATAGCGGTCCGTAAAGTAATAGAGGATAGTATAGAAATCGGGATCATTTAGACGTCACACGACTTCCTGCGTACATGCATTTTCTCTATGGTCACGTGGTCTACTTAATTCAATAATGAGATCGCCTGTGTTTGGCGACGTATGTTCAAACTCAAATATCGACAGCGACACTTTAATTCCTATATAACAGGACGCAATTGTCCAGAGACCCAGTTGCCTGGTACGCAATTGTCCGGGCAACAAACGTCCCTTACGCAAATGTCCTAGAACCAACAATCAATCCTTTGGAACTCTGGCAGAATTCCAGGTGTTCAAAGGAATGATATGAGCCAAGGTATCAACAGAATACCGAAGAACTTCATCAAAGACACCGCCCGTAACGTTGCCCTCCATAATGCTGCTGATAGATGTTTTTAATTCCTCCAAGGTAGAAGGATAATTTCTGTACTATACGATGGGTCTTTGCTGGAGGTGGTTAACAGCAGATAGTTCCACGGTACATTACCTGTTGAGCAAATTCGAAAAGTGATCTTTCGAATTCTTGCTAGTAAGGAACTTCGTGCCATCTTTTCATCTGAAAGGCTGTACCGCTCTTCATGAAGTTGTAAGCTAGAATGTAGAAGCCAAAGCACGGAATTTCACCATTCAAGACAACAACCTCGATAATGGCTAGAGAAGTAGTCGAAAGCGCTCGGAACAATTAAAACTATGGACAATTTGTATATTCTTTAACCCCTGAAAAACTGAAAAGTGTTAGAATGCTGGAAAAACTCAATTTATATGCGGAAAGACGTTCTCTCATCCATAATAGTTCTTCAATTTATTCCTTTAAATGTAGTTGTGGCTTACACTATATAGGGAGAACGAATCAAAGGCTGGATGTTAAAATATAGCAAAAATGTTCCAACGAAAATCCGTAATCTTAAATACATTCCTTCAGACGTTCTGACCAATACGTATAGGTCTTCCAACGCAGAGCATCTAATAAATAGCCATAATTGTGCTACTAGTTTCAGTGTGGACTCTTTTACCATTCTTAGCAAGTCCACTCTCGAATTACCACTTAAAAGTGTTGGAGGCCATTTATATTTTATCGTTGAAGCCCTCTCTGTGTAAACAGAAAGACTTCATACGGGGCCTCCAACTAATTTCCATCTAAACAATATTTTTTCCTCTACTACATATTGTTCATCTCTTTTCGGTGATAATTCTATTTAATTTATTAACCTCGATTAAGATCTGTTGATTTTGTCTTTTTTTCATGGCGGTCATAAAATTTTGTATCACAAACCATGTATGTATATATATATATATATATATATATATATATATATATATATAAAGAAATAATTATACATAGAATCAATCAGCAAAAATAAACGCGATTAATGGCGAAATCACTTTTTGCTAGCAGAAATGTTATGTATACATTAAAATACTGTTAATCCATTGAATGATGTGATACTTATTTATAAAACTGTTGTCAGATGTTTTAGTGTATATTTTTTTAATTATCAACAGGACTTTCGAAGAATCATTCCTTCATCGTCAGGCTGTAATTTTTTTTTTAAAAAATAAAATAAAAAAATATATATATATATATATATATATATATATATATATATATATATATATATTCATGAATTATTCACACAAAAAAATGCAAAGGTTAATGATTTAATTGGCGAGAAATCCATCGTCGCAAACAATTCAAATAATATACAAAAAAATTTCCGAATCCGTTATGAATGAAAAGATCCTTGTTTCTATAAATATATATATATATATATATATATATATATATATATATATATAACTGTTTTAGTTTATGTGTCCGCTTATTTTAAACAGTGTTTTACCGAATTTTTTAAGTAAAACCATCGCGCTTATTAGCCAATTTTTTGTTTGAAAGCTGATTTATATAGATATTATCAGGAATGTAATCAAAGAGCGTCTGCAGGAATGGATGCGAGCGAACATTAAATAACACTGCAAAACTTTAGCATGTCTGTTGGCACCTGTCATTGCCATGCGAAGCGAGATTTTTAAAATTGGCCTCTTAGACGCCAGTTTGTATTCACGAAGCAATGACAATAGGCCGAGCGAGAATGGATTGTCTCCCGAGTTGATAAAAGAAAGCCAGTTTTGGTTTGATGAAACTGACAATGAACGACATTTCGAATGTGGTGGTTGATTGAAATTTGGGACTGGTCAGCCAAGGGAGAAATGTGGCTCGATTTCGGTGTTTCCGTTTTGATCCACAAAATTCAAGAAATTAAAAGACTTATGTAGAACATGAGAAATTTATTTTTAAAAACAGCAAGAAATTTTTCTGCGGAAGTAAGGAAAGAGAGGAAAAAATTCTAAAAAGGAAGAAGAAATTCATTCGTTACCGATTGAAATATTGATCACTAATTTATAATATATTTTAGTATCTATCTATCTATCTATCTATCTATCTATCTATCTATCTATCTATCTATCTATCTATCTCAGTTTCTTCATCTATATACCTACTTATCTATCTATCTATCTATCTATCTATCACGGTATGCTACTTTTATATTTATACATTAAAGTGACAGTGGTACCCTCCCTCTCTCTCTCACTATCTATCTATCTATGTCTGTTGATAGCGATATATCTATCCATCTATCTTACACTGTCCAGTGTTTCATATATCTATCTATCTATCTATCCATCTATCTATCTATCTATCACAGCATATATATATATAAATATATATATATATATATATATATATATATATATATATTCACAGTATAATAAGTACTATTTATTTAATAAAATGAAATGTTAAAATCTATTTCTTTTCTATAAATCTATAACAGTATATTCAGGGTTTATATACATATACATGCATACACACACACACACACACACACACACACATTATATATATATATATATATATATATATATGTATATTTCCAACTTTTTTATCTATCTATCTTCTATCTATCAACATTTTCTAAAGTCAGAACATATCATAAATATATATATATATATATATATATATATATATATATATATATATATATTTATGAATATATATATATATATATATATATATATATATATATATAGAATATATATATATATATATCTGGTGTTTTACTTTCTATTTATTAAAATGACAATGTTACCAATCTAATTCTCCACGACTTTTCTACTATCTTTATCTATCTATTTAATATCTATATCTCGCTATCTAGCTATCTCTAACCGTAAATTAATGTCTATTTACACACTTAACAAAAGACGCCATCATTTTCCTGATGGATAGATATTAATAGAATTGCGAAAAAATATTTAAATACTAAATTGGGAAAAGAGCACCAACAAATATCAAGAATTCGAAGACTATATGCCAAGAAGAATGGGACAAAATACCACTCAATGTGTGTAAATCATTAGTTGAGACGTACAGGAATAGACTGGTAGCTGTTGAACTTAATAAAGGATATTCCACAAAGTATTAAATTAAGTTAATATGCTTTTTTTGTTTTGTACGAATACTTTTTCATCAGTTAAAATGAAAAAATGCATTTTTTTTTTAATAAGAATTAAATTTATTACTATTTTTTAATAAAATTTTATCTTTACACATAAAATGTATCAAAATTTGTTTTAGTTAAGGCTTTTACATTTGTAAAAATACAATTTTTCATGTGTACGAATATTTATTCCCACCCCCCAACTGTATATGATTAAGTTAATTATAAACATAATGTCTGCTTATTTTTACCATAATCCGTTGATATTCACGGATATTTTTTCGGTAATTACAATCAAATGATGTAAGAAGTACACTGTAACAGAAAAAATGAATTTTATTTATCAAATGCTTTCCATTTCTCTCATCAGGGTTGCAACTGTTAAGGCAAAAACTATGCATATGAATATAACATCAGTTTTACTGGTCAAAAAACAAATGGATTGTTTAAATACAAGGATCTCTTTAGGAAAAAAACATTAAAATTCGGCATTAAATAACCAATTGGGTTGATATGCTTCAATGATTAAAAATGCCTTCAATTTGGCTCTCAACATCATAAATTCAAGTAAACAAAAAATTTATTACATATACTGACTGTATGTTACAGCGTTGAAAACCAATAAGATATAAAATCTACTTATCATTAAACTACTCAACAGGATCAATAGCTTAAATACAGATATTGTCTTCATCCATTGTTATATAATAAAAAAAAGAACCTCTTTATATGTGGCATACCAAGAGAAATTCACCATTTACATGTAAATGACAAACTGCAGTAATTTTAATTCAATCTACTTAAAATACTACCAAACAAGAAACTTGAAAATAACTTTTTCAAAATACTGATCCACTTAACAACATTCCAGTTTCTAAGAGAAATTAAACTGATCTCAAAAATATAATTTAAAAAAATATTAAACTATGACTAACAGCAGTCTTACTAATTAAAAAAAAATAAAAATGGACCGTTTAAATACAAGGTTTTATTTAGGAAAAAAAAATTAAATTTCGGCATTAAATAATCCAATGGGTTGATATGCTTCAATGATTAAAAATACCTTTGAGTGAATGAACCCTGTAGGTCTTAAAGAGGACCTTTGTTTATCAGTTTTTCTTGATTGATGCTAGAGAATTGCAAAAAAAGGAACCAGTAACAGAAAGTAAATCACTTGAAGACTTTCTACAGCAGCAACAACTAAAATGGTTATTGTATTGTATTGGTTGATTGATTCATGACTTATCAACACTTTGTGGGTTATTTAAAGCTAAAACACATTTTGAATTGTAAGAATTTGAATGTGAATATTGCGTTAACTACTTTTTGTGAATAACAATGATTTTTCCAGATACAAGTTCTACTATTTAACCCATAGATTGGAGGTGATAGATTTATGCTTTTCCTAAGACTATTTGCATGTAAATGAATATAATGAACCCAACTGGAATTCGAACTTGGCTCTCTGATTTCTCATTCTGAGAGAGCCCGTGTCACTCAAAGACAAAATAATACAATCAAGATGTTGACTTCCCACACTATTGCAAGATAAGGTTAGGAAGGAAATTCCTACCAATAATAGAAATAGGAATAACTGTTTGTGGACTTAAACCAATTTTCCTGAAAAAAACTGTTTTGAAAACAAGACTTTACATATTTCCACTTTACCTATTTCAGTTCCTAAAAGGAAATAAACTGATCTCAAGAATATCATTTAAAAATATAACTATATCAACTAGAATTCTATTTAAAATACATTTTGACTGTGTAGATAAAAGACTTTATTTTAAAAAAATGGCATTAAATGACGCAATGGTTTGATATACTGTAAACCAAACCAAACCAAACTAAACTAATGAATTGTCCAAGCGTTTGTTGGTTCCAAACGCTTTCGTTTAAACTGTTAACCGGTGTAAGGATTATTTTTGTTACACTGTTGAAATAAATTGTGTAAGCGATAGTCTAGACGAAACAGAAGTTACTGAAAATCGACATATTTTTATTTCTAAATACGGCTAGTACATTGAGAACTGATAGTTTTGCCAAAAAAGCTCGAAATCAAAAACATTTTGAACAAAATTTACATTCATTAAGTCCAGAAAAGGAGACACTTTTATAGTTCAACGACAGTTGCATACTAAACATTTGTGTCCCAGACAATTGCGTATCTCGGACATTTGCATCCCCAGACAAACGCGTCCCTGGATAATTGCATACCTCTGATAATTTTCAAGAAAGTTACCATAAATTTTGAAAAAAAAGCATTAGTAGTAATCATAAAATTTTAAAAAAGGAATAAAAGAAATATAATAAAAAAAAACTAAAAGTTTATTTTTGTTTAAAATGCAATGGCAATTATGGCGTGGCGTGACTGAATCCTTCGCCGTATGAATTCTTGCTTTGCAAAATCGCTCTACACAACCCTAGTATGTTTTTGTTTCATCGGTGTTTTTCTCATGATAGTAGTAGCTGTAATTTTCCTCATCCACAAATATTTTTCCACCAGGGTTTTATTTACGGAACATAGCCATGGGTTCCAAATAAAAATATAATCTATAAAATCAGGATTCTATTAGATGTTTGTGGTACGCACTGCTGGAGTGAACTGAAACAGCAAAATTAATTTTCTCTTGCATTAAAATATAAATTTTTCTATCTTTTTTTATTTATGGCAACCAACTTTTTGCTTGTTTAGAGCAATTAAAGACATTTGTGTGCAAATTTCTATATTAAACAGATCTTGAAAAAAAATGGTAATTTCAAAAACTTATCAGAGGTATGCAATTATCCAGGGACGCATTTGTCTTGGAACGCAAATGTTCAGGCACGCAGTTGTCTGGTACGCAGTTGTCCGGGCGAAAAGGTCCGGTACGCAGTAGTTCGGGCGCAAATGTCCAGTACGCTATTGTCCGGGCGCAAATCTCCAGTACGCTATTGTCCCGGTGCAAATGTCCAGTACGCAATTGTCCCGGTGCAAATATCCAGTACGCTATTGTCCCGGTGCAAATGTCCAGTACGCTATAGTCCCGGCGCAATTGCCCAGTATGCAATTGCCCGGTGCAAATGTCCAGTACACTATTGTCCGGGCGCGAATGCCCAGTACGCTATTGTCCGGGTGCAAATATCCAGTACGCTATTGTCCGGGCGCAATTGTCCATTACGCTATTGTCCAGGTGCAAATATCCAGTACGCTATTGTCCGGGCACAAATGTCCAGTAAGCTATTGTCCGTGTGCGAATGTCCAGTACGCTATTCTCCGGGCGGAAATGTTCCGTACACTATTGTCCGGTTGCAATTGTCCAGTACGCTATAGTCCGGGTGCAAATGTCCAATAGGCTATTGTCCGGGCGCGATTGTCCAGTACGCTATTGTCCGGGCACAAATGTCCAGCACGCCATTGTCCGAGTGCGAATGTCAAGTACGCTATTGTCTGGGCACAAATGTCCAGTACGCTATTGTCCGGGTGCGAATGTCCAGTACGCTATTGTCTGTGCACAAATGTCCAGTACGCTATTGTCCGGGTGCGAATGTCCAGTACGCTATTGTCCGGGCGCAAATGTCCAGTACGGTATTGTCCAGGTGCAAATGCCCAGTACGCTATTGTCCGGGCGCAATTGTCCAGTACGCTATTGTCCGGGTGCAAATGTCCAGTACGCTATTGTCCGGGCACAAATGTCCAGTACGCTATTGTCCGGGCACAAATGTTCAGTACACTATTGTCCGGTTGCGATTGTCCAGTACGCTATAGTCCGGGCACAAATGTCCAGTAAGCTATTGTCCGGGCGCAAATGTCCAGTACGGTATTGTCCAGGTGCAAATGCCCAGTACGCTATTGTCTGGGCATTGTAAATGTCCAGTACGCTATTGTCCGGTTGTCCGGTTGTCCAGTACGCTATAGTCCGGGCACAAAATGTCCAGTAAGCTATTGTCCGGGCGCAAATGTCCAGTACGGTATTGTCCAGGTGCAAATGCCCAGTACGCTATTGTCTGGGCACAAATGTCCAGTACGCTATTGTCCGGGTGCGAATGTCCAGTACGCTATTGTCTGGGCACAAATGTCCAGTACGCTATTGTCCGGGTGCGAATGTCCAGTACGCTATTGTCTGGGCACAAATGTCCAGTACGCTATTGTCCGGGTGCGAATGTCCAGTACGGTATTGTCCGGGTGCAAATCTCCAATACTCAACTGTTCGTCAACAGACTTTTACACACACAGTAAAAACTTAATACAAACCCAACAAAACTACCTTGTCGGTCTTTTTCAACGAAATATATACAGAAATATTTACAGTAAAGACTCGCCATGCCATGTATTCAGTGTCGAATTTGTCCCATTTCCATCGTATAATACTGATTCTAAGGAATTTCGAAGAAAGATACGGACTATGTCTATCGAAAACCTGTGTAAAGAACAAGTATTTGTGATCTCTTTAAACGTAACATATGGTTGAACGGCAAAGCAACGACCACGAATTTAACTCATTCACGTTGCTCCATCGGATAAACCGGACTTGTTGGTCTACACGCCACAACATAAATGATAGATTATGTTCAATATAAGAAAACCTACGACAGATACCCGTGCGCAATGAGCGAGTGTACCGAACGAAACCTGATGCAAAAGATGAAAAAACAAATCCGAAGATACTGGTTCGAATGAATCAATATATAACAGATGCATTTTGTTTGACAAATTACTTTTTTTCTAAGTAAATCTGGTAACATTGAAATGTGGGATTCAGTTAGTAAGCGATTAAGTCTGGTGTATGTAAAATATAAGAATGACAATTTAAGCCGTATTAAAACACAGATATCTAAATAATAGATGGATAACTTACATTATATTACAACACCGATATTTAAATGATAGACAGACAACTTAAATTTTATTATAACACCGATATTTAAATAATAGATGAATATCTTTAATGAAACAGATACCCCCCATATATATATATATATATATATATATATATATATATATATATATATATATATATATTTTTGTGTATTTTTTTCAAAAAACATTTCATTGAAAAACGACAGACAAGGTGCTTTTGATTTAGTTTTTTTATACAATTTCTCATTCGATCTAATAATTTTTTTTTCAGATGATAAATTATATAAAAACTGTCCGAATGTTCTTTTTATACGAGCGCTTTCGGCTATACATTTAGCCATTTTCAAGGATTAAATATGTACTCTGAATTCTAAACTATGGGAACGGGACATCACTCCGTTATTTTTTCCCCCAGAAAATATGGCCGTTCTCAGGTTTGAAAAAGAACTAATGAAAGCTATGATCGCCTACGTAATTTTTTTTTTTTTTTAAATAGCATGAAATCGTCACAATTTCACATTTTGGAATAAGACATCATTTTCGATAAAGTACGCTTCTGATTTTTATCAACATCAGTTGAATAAAATTAATGGCGAATATTTAAATTTTTTGTCTGGGGGCCAACTAGATTAGAAGCCGTAGGCGACAGACCGTATGTAAATCCGAGGCAGATAACGATGTTATTTTATAAAAAAAAAAAAAAAATGTGGTCAGTCTCTGAGATTCTCTTGATTTTGTCCATGTGTCTTAGCTTATGAACAAACGACAAGGGATAATCGATAATCTCTTACAAAACAACAACGAAAAAAAAGGAATAGTATAAAATTTTGTCTCTTTATTTCTGTATTTGATATCTTTCTTGTTTTTTAACTGATTAAATAAGAAAAGACTTTTAGTTGCCCCATGGAAAAGAAACTTAGTAACGTTTAATATGAATACAAGGCTTTCAAGTTATTGTTCATTGACATATATATGATGATAGTGATGATAGTATGCAAGTTTTTTAGTTAGAATTCTTCCATCTTATTAACACAAGTGTTTGGACACTTACACTTGGTGAATTGGTTAACAAGCTTGACTCATTTGATATATTACGACTGAGTAGCAGTTATGATCCTCATTGGGTGCCCCACACTTTCCGCCTAGTGACACAGCTAAGCTACGCTTACAAAAAGAGAGCCCTTCAATTTGGTGTAACGGTTAACAAGCTTATCTCGTTTGATTTATTACGACTGAGTAGTGAGTTCGATCCTCACTGGGTGTTGAACACTTTCGGCTACGTGCCACAGCTAAGCTACGCTTACGAAAAGAGAGCCCTTCAAATTGGTGTAATGGTTAGCAAGCTTATCTCGTTTGATTTATTACGACTGAGTACTGAGTTCGATCCTCACTGGGTGCTGAACACTTTCGGCTACGTGCCACAGCTAAGCTACGCTTACAAATAGAGAACCAGTTCGACATTCCAACCTGAAGAATGCAGGAGCGTACAACGGCCGAAACGTTGTAATAAATATGGCGACAAAGATGAGGACAACAATCCGAATAATGTAAATAGTGTATATAATACCTCATCTCAGAAATATAGACAGATACAGAATGTCTTCCCCCTTTAAATTCTTTAAAGTGAGCGTGGGAAATAGTTTTTTTTTTTCTGACAGACGTATAGTGAAACTTAGATACTTGAACGGTACAAGTGAAATATGAATGTCATAGTTAAAGACAATGACAAAGAAGAAGAAAATGTCCTTTTGGTGGAATGAATGAATCCGTCTTATTTCCGGCGCTATTAAGTGAGATAAGGCGACACCAGCTCCACGGCCGAAACGTTGTAATAAATATGGCGACAAACATGAGGACAATAGTCCAAATAATGTAAATAGTGTAAAAAATACCTTATCTCAGAAATATAGACAGATAGTTTTCTTTTGTTTCTAATATGCATAAAAAAATAGCAGCATCTTTCCAGTTTTAAGCATCGTTGGTCATTTTCCGGTGAGGAATTATGTGTTCTAGTGTTGAAATTCAAGAACATTAGAAGTGAAGAAACCTTTCTGCTCACACCTGTCATATAATGATCCACAAGCAACTGAACAGACTTCACAAAACAGGCCAGGTCCCGTACAAAGTAGTTTGTCACATCTGGAAGAAGAACTGCGAGTCACTTACAGACTTCAAAAGCCACTGTTGTTCTCACAAGAACCAAAATCATTGACGAAAACTTTTCACCGGCAGTCATATTCAATCACGTTGGCAAGAAATCTTGATCTATCTATCTATCTATCTATCTATCTATCTATCTATCTATCTATCTATCTATCTGTCTGCCTGCCTGTCTATCTCAGTCTATTCCATTCTATCTCAGTCTGTTCCAATCTATCTATCTCATTTTATACATATCTATCTCAGTCTGATTCTATCTATCTATCTATCTATCTATCTATCTATCTATCTATCTATCTATCTCAGTCTGTTCCAATCTATCTATCTCATTTTATACATATCTATCTCAGTCTGAATCTATCTATCTATCTATCTATCTATCTATCTATCTATCTATCTATCTCAGTCTGTTGCAATCTATCTCTCTCAGTCTGTTCATATCTATCTATCTCATTTTATACATTATCTATCTCAGTCTGATTCTCTCTCTCTCTCTCTATCTATCTATCTATCTATGTCAATCTGTTGGCAAATATGTGTATGAGAGTGTTTTGATGATACTTTCTTTGAAAATGTTGCCACTGAATTTGATCTAAACTTTAATGTATATGGCCTCGACCTCCCAAGTAATGCAGGCCACGAAAATCATTCAAGAAGTCACGCAACCAGAGAATACATCCATTTAAGTAATAACTGATGTAAAAGACACTCAACATTGCTACATATACTCAAGACAGTTTAAGATAATAGAAAACCCCTCCCTCGAGAGGTTTTTAATGGGGATATTCATCATGTCTCAAATTGGTCTCTGTAATAATAGTGCATTCAAGGCGGCTGCCTTAAAATCACAGAATCACAATACCAGGGAAATTATACCTAGAGGTGCACAGCACTGAGGAACAGCTGCCCGAGGCCGCGCCCTCTTATTGCGTCCGAGAGAAGATTGGTTTGAACGCACCGATTTCCGCGCAACCGACGGTTGAGGGAAATTTTTGTTCCTTGTGCCTTCTTGTAAATCTGCCATCAAATATATAATAACTTTTCTGGATTAACAAGACGTTGATGCCGTGTCTGTTGGGCTTCGGGATCTCCCTTTCAAGTGCAACATTTGCGCAAAAGCTTGTAAAAGTAAGTCTAGTTTTAAAAGTCATCTGCCCTTTCATGAGCGGTAAGTCTGAATGTTATACATATATAAAAAAGATGTGGAGATGGTCTTCTTTTGTCAAGAAATACGATCGCCATATATATATATATATATATATATATATATATATATATATTCATGAATTATTCACACAAAAACAAATGCAAAGGTTAATGATTTAATTGGCGAGAAATCCATCGTCGCAAACAATTCAAATAATATACAAAAACCTTCGAATCCGTTATGAATGAAAAGATCCTTGTTTCTATAAATTTCTACCGTATTAGTTCTTATTTTTACTACAAGCTTTCGTCTGTTCCCGACATCTTCAGGTATGGAATAGATGTTGTTCTTGTTTTTTTCTCTTAGTAATAAGAGGACAACGAAAATATATGTATTATTGTATCCGAAAATGCTATTGGAAATGAGTTATTGTTTTTTCAATCGTGCAATAGCAACGCTGAGTTTGATTTTAAATTTTTTTTACATGGCAATTTTCATGTACAAATATGGTGATAAACGAATTTTTTACTGGTGTGGCACCTTGCATTATTAGAAATATTCATAGAAATATGATTTAATTTTTTTTTACTCGGTTTACTAAACAGGTTGTTGATTTTTTTTTAAACGGAAAAATAATTGAGTTGAAAATAATTCACTAAGATTGTACTTAGACGATCCTAAGGGAAAGAAGAAGGAAGGGGAAAGAGAGGTCGAAAATACAAAAAATAACGGTCATTAACAAAAAATACGAGTCAGAAAGATATCTTAGCTAGCATGTTGACCGAATTTTTAAAGACAATTGGAAGAATAGAATTAGAAATAATAAAAAAGAAAGAAAGGAAAAATACATGATATCAAAACGGGCCGCTTGATGAAAAACCAGATATCGGTCAAAAATCTAGCCTACTTTTTTGCGTAGAAAGACACCTTATCAATTTGGATAAAGGGAAATTTTTAGAACAATGAATGAACGAAATCTTAATCAGAGAAAAAATGTCTTTTGGGTTGAGGGGAGTGACCGGTGGAACGGTGCTATACAGATTCTGACCTGTTAAAAATTAGAACCCCACATTGACGAGTGAAAGATTTTTCAATTCAGATAAATTAAGATTTTCTGACTGTCGGGTCTGACCAAAAACAAGAGGTGAAAAAAAAAAACGATTGTCTCAGATCACAGATGGCGACAATATTCTTTCCTGAAGTCACAACTAATTAGCGGCGGGCTGGTTGACAGAACCCAGGTGAGAAAAGCCAAGATTGTCATTTTTTTTAAACGTGCAGAAAAAAGCAAAATTTTGATTTTTTTTTTTAAAACAAGAACGATGTAACCACGCCCGAAAGGAGGAGAAAGGATGCTCGATCAATAACAATTGGTCGGAAACGGTCACGTGATCTGCAGAAAAGAAGAAAAGAAATGCCCGATCAGGAACCATTGGTCGAAAAACGGTCACCTGACATACGAGAGACTAAGAGAGATGGTGTGCACCTCCCCAAAAAGGGCACTGTGAGGAAGTAGGGTGAAAAATAATAGCGATAATGGGAAATCAAAAATAATGCGACTTTTGGAGTTATTGAGAAAACCCTGACGCCGACAGACCCACCCCAGTTTGTTGCAGGCGTCAATAAAAGCAGGACCCCAGTCGACAGAAATCAGTTGAGTTGAGTTGAGAGTTGCAGCTGGACCGGGGCAGGAAAGAGCCTGAACGCGGGCATTTGGCCCGATTCAAAAAGTTTGCGGGCAAAAGAATCCTCAGACAAGAAATCCTTCCAGCCCAAGTCGAAGACAGAAGAGTTCAGCCCCGGACGACAGCGAGAAGAGATTTTTTCGGACGACAGAGAGTTACGGCTGAGTTGCGGCAAGAGATCCTTCCAGCCCAAGTCGAAGACAAGAGAACTTCCAGCCTAAGTCGACGAAGAAGAAGAAATTACAACCCAAGTCGAAGACAAATGAGAACTTCCAGCCTAAGTCGATCGAAGAAGAAGAAATACAACTCAAGTCGAAGAAGAGAATCAACTGCGAATGATCGATAGAAATTAGCCCCAGTGTCGAACCAAACCACAAACTCCGACATACACAATTCTAAAGAGTAGGCAATTCGAAATCTTTTCCTTGTGTGATAGAAGCTTGGTGCCATAGTCCACAGAGCGGGTTGGGAAATGAGAACAATTTTTTTTTATGTAACGGACATTAAGATATAAAAGGTTGTTACCCATTTTTTTCATCAGCAATCTTTTTGTCTCGTGAGTTTTTTTCTTTTTATTTGTTTTTGCCACCCCGTCGGACTCAACTTGTATCCGCCCCAATCCCTGCTGGTCCCGTCTGTCTAAGATCTAAACACAGCGTGGGTAGACAGACCGGAGATCGGTACAGTTGCTTTAGTGACCAGGTATTGGAAGCGAGTCGGGAAAGGCGAGGCTGGTGATCATCTGACCAAGGGGTTGGAGCGGCACGCTTGGACCCAGGAGGAGCGACCAGGAGGAGCGACGTCACCGTTGGCGCCGTAACCAAAGGATCCGACCCTGGGCCAGGTGTGTAACCGTCACACTGGTAAATTTTCTGTCAAAGTGGCATGAACTATATTGTTCTATAATTACAGTAATGTCGCACTTATTATCCAAAAAAATTATACTTGGATCAGTTATTTTAATTTCGATAAACGTGCAATTAATTTACAAATTCATGAATTATTCAACAAAAACAAAACAAATGTTAATGATTTAATTGGCGAGAAATCCATCGTCGCAAACAATTTAAATAATATACAAAAACCTCGAATCCGTTATGAATGAAAAAGATCCTTGTTTCTATAAATTTCTGCTGTATTAGTTCTTATTTTATATATTCTTATATATATATGCACTATAGTTCAAAAGTTTGAGAGCACCTCCGGTAATTTTTTTAATTGATCCTGAAAGTAGTTGTTTTTAACTTTAAATAAGAGAAAATTATTATGAATATTTTTAAAATTCTTACCATTTTTTTTAAAAAATATTCTCCTTTTGCCTCGATTAATACAGCACAAATTTCTCAACTGTAGTGAATATATATATAATTATAGATAACTAGACTCGTTTCGAAAAACCCTCGAATTTTTGATTTGTTAATAATCAAAATCAATCTCGAGGGAAAAAAAAATTTTAAAAAAGAAAAGAGCTACAAACATGAACTTCTGCCGACAAAAAAATCATTGCACAGATACAGGTTTGAAGCCCAAAGAAAAAAACGCCGATACGAGTTAAACAACTAACTAACAAAAAACGCTCATCACAACCGTAATGCAGACCTAAAAGATTATATATATATATATATATATATATATATATATATATATATATATATATATATAAATCCAAATGTAAAAAGAACGAAAAGAATAAAATTCAAACGTTCATAACATTAATCTAAAAACGGGCACAATAGAAAAGTCGAGCAATAAATATTTATTAAAACCTTTAATGAATGCAAGCTACTACTACAAAATTGCGTATTTTGTTTCGACTTTTTCACACGCTTCATCAAGTAGGTAACAATGACCATTGTTAAATACCTGATGAGACGTGATAAACGTCGAAACAAAATACTCAATTTTGTTGTAGTAACTTGCCTGTTCTTATCATAAAATATTATTATAATACATACATACATACATACATACATATATATATATATATATAAATATGTATACATATATATATATATGAAATATGTATATATATATATATATGTCTATATATATAATAAATATATATATATATATATATATATATATATATATATATATATATATGAAAGAAAATATACTGAAAAAAATAAACAAAAATCCTAATATACGATTATGCTGTTTTAATTTCATTAATTTAATTAAAAGATTTCAGTTATCTGTTTGGATTGGTATTGCTTTTATGTCCATAGTCTTTTTCATGTTGAATTGTATATGGTCCATGTTAATTATGTTTTAGGAATATGTCCTGAAGATGGTCTATTAGACCGAAACGTCCGACGTTGACATTAAACATTAAAACAGCATAATCGCATATTAGGATATTTGTTTCTTTTTCAGTATCTTTTTCTTCATACTGTCGGATCTACATCCATATATTTGCTTTATATATATATATATATATATATATATATATATATATATATATATATATACACACTTTATAGACTGTTTCATAGAAAAAGATTAGTAGAAACCAATGTTCCTATGAGGACTATTTTTTGTGTCGTAAGGTTAACAAGATAGGTTCTATTCAGAACTTAATAACAGAGCCTCTGTGTGAATGTATTCATACGAACACAGAGAAACTTTAGCCCGTTGTTTGATACCTTTTTCTTTTGTTTTCCTTTGACATTCTCTCTTGTTTATTAAAGATAATGACGAATTAAGTAGTTG